TTTTGCTTCTATGATTTGTTAAGTGGGGTCCTGAGCAATACTCAGTTTAGGGCTAATTATCCTCCACAACCCCTCCCCATGGAGCCTCTGTATCCTCTGCACAGGTTCTGGGGGCTTTCTGGTGCTGGTCCGGCCCCCCCGCAATAAACCTAAGTTAAGAATGGGAGTTGGAGAGCAAAATTAAATCCTTCCTCCCTTAAAAATAGAATGGGGGTTGGAGGCCATCCAGTACTATGTCAGACAGCCAGCTGGCTATCTGCAGGTGGGAAGCACAATGTGGGGCTTTGGATGACCCAGGATCTATTGTTATCTCCCCTAAAAGGCTTCTGTCTTCACTGTGGAGGCCTCAGGACCTCATCCAGTCATTCCAGGCACTCTGATTTCACACAGATGAGGGCCAAGACTAGGAAGTCACTGGGTTAGAGTTAGCATGATCACCCTGCTGCAATTGCAGGAGCTTGGTCCAGAGGTAGGGACCAGACCTGGATGTTAGGTCATTCCCCCAAAAAGCCTGTTGCACCTCTTGAAGGGACTACCTGTGCTGGTCCTGCCTGCTGACTTCCGAGAAAGGACCCTGGGGGCCCACCAAGCCTCTCCTTCATGGAAGCCTCCAAAGGACCAGCAGGCCTGTCCTATTTCTCTGGGACCTCACCTGTTGTGTTACTTAGCTTTTTTGTCAGTGTGACAGCTACCTGAGAAGTCAACTTAAAGGCTGAAAGAGTCGTTTTGGCTCACGGTTTCAGTCCGTGCTTGGCTGGCTCTGTCGTTTCTGGGCCGTGGTGAGGCAGAACATGGTGGAAAGGCATGGAAGAGCAAAGTTGCTCACTTCATGGCAGCTGGGAAGCAGAGTGAGACAAGAAGGGGCTAGGGTCGGGACATGCCCCCAGTGATCTACTTCCTCCAACCAGGCTCCATCTCCCACCATCCCCCAATAATGCCATCAAATCATGAATCCATAGACGAATTAATTCATTAATTAAGACAGAGGCTTCATGATCCAATTACTCCTCTAAATGACTTTATCTACCAGCTGAGGACCGAGCCTTCAACTCATGAGCTTTTTGGGGACACTTCATATCTAAACCTTAACACCTGCTAAGAAGCAGGGTTGGAAAGGCTAACATGGAAGAGTCACCCTCCCAAGGTATGAGGAACTTGATATGTGGCTTTCACTAGAGCTGGCTGCATGGTGTGTGTGGTGGGTGCTTCTTGTGGCTTCAGATTCCCCACTTCCTGTAGGGCTCTCTTGATTTTTTTTTTCTTTTTGGTAGTACTCGGGTTCGAACTTAGGACCTTGGGCTTGCTAGGCAGGTGCTCTACTACTTGAGCCATGTCTCCAGCCCAAGTACCTCTCTTGAAAGATCACAGCACTCACTATGGGCTGACCTGTGACATTTTGCTCAACTCTTTCCTCCCCTGCCCACGAAACAGGGCCACCAAGTGCCCTGGTTCAGGTTCATGTTTAGTTGACTTTGTTGGGGGAGTACATATGAGTTCAGCTCTCTACTCCGGCAGGACCTTCCTAAAAGCCCTTGAAGTTGGCTCCTGGGGTTGTCCTATGTCAGTCTTGCTATTCTGCAAACTCTCTACCCAAGGAGTGAGGCCACCAGCTACATGAGTTGTTATCTAAGGATGAGCCAATCTCAGAGGGTGGGGTGCCCTGCTCAGGGCCCCTTATTCTTCCTGCTTTCCCTAGGGTCTGTTCTAAAAGGATTCTGATTCTTTTGTGGAAGTTTCCAGGACTCTCTCTGCCTCTCTCACCTGTTTCCCTGCATGAGTAATAGGGTTGTGAAATGGGGGGGTTAGACTATTTTGACAGTTAGGACTTAGCCCCTATAGAGAAAAGTAGACTTCCCCTCATGACTAAGAAGTAGGGACTAGATTCTGAGGCTGGAATTGGGAATTAGTATCTGGAGAGGGAGTGGAAATTGGGCCCCTGGGGGAGGAACTGGGGAACCCAGTGTTAGTGGCCTAAGTTTGGCCTTATTTGTTGGAGGCAGAGATTCTGAGTTGGTTTCTGGCAGGAGAGGGGGGCCTAGGTCTGTAGAGGGAGAGGTTAGAACTTAATCACTGAAACAAAAAGTGGGGCTAAGGGACTGGAGAGTGGCTCAAGCGGTAGAGCACCTGCTTTGCACTTGTGAAGTTCTGAGTTCAAACCCCAAAGCCACCACCAAAAAAAAAAAAAGTGGGGCCTGGCGCTGGTGGTTCACGCCTGTAATCCTAGCTACTCATGAGGCAGAGATCAGGAGGATCACAGTTCAAAGCCAGCCTGGACAAATAGTTTGCGAGACCCTATCTCAAAAAATCCTATCATGAAAAGCCCTATCACAAAAAATTGGACTGGTGGAGTGGCTCAAGGTGAAGGCCCTGAGTTCAAGCCCCAGTACCACATAAAGAAAAGTGGGATTTAGGTTCTGGAGCTAATAGGTGGGGTTAGCTTCTGAAGTGGAACTGAGGAAGCAGTAGTTGGCAAGTACAAGGAGTTTGGTGTTGTGACTTGTTTCCCAAGTTAGATAAAGACAAGAAACTGAGCAAACCCTAACAGGATAAAGCCAGATAAATCCACATCTAGACACCCCATAATCAAATTGGTGGAAACTAAGACAAAATAGGAGGGTTCCAGTGGCTCACACCTGTAATCCTAGCTACTTGGGAGGCTGAGATGGGGAGGATCATGGTTGGAGGCCAGCCCAGGGAAATCGTTCACAAGACCCCATCTCCAAAATAACCAGAGCAGCTGGAGGTATGACTCCAGTAGTACAGCACCTGCCTAACAAGCTTGAACTGGGTTCAAACCCCAGTACTGCCAAAAAAAAAAAACCCACAAAATATCCAGAGCAAAATGGACTTGGGGTGTGGCTCAAGCAGTAGAGTGCCTGCTTTGCACTCTGAATTCGAACCCCAGTCCCACAAAAACAAAAACAAAAACCTAAGACAAAATTAAAAAAAAAACCTGAAAGCAGTGAGAGAAAAAATAACTCATTACTTGCAGGCCTAACAATGGTTTTAACCACTGCCTCTTTCTCATGGGAAAGAAACATGGAGGCCAGATGAACTGGCATATTTTTAAAGTGCTGAAAGACTGAGTGAAAGAAAGGCGCTATCTAAATTCCATAACCAGTGAAGAAAATAGCCTTCAGGAATGAAGAGGGAAATAAAGACTTTCTTACATGAAAGAAAACAGAGAATTCTTAGCTCACTTACTTGCCCTGAAGGAATTACTCTTGAGACAATAAAAAAGAATGCAGGAAGGAAATCTGGAACATCAGGAATGAAGGAAGAACAAGAGGAATGATAAATATTTGGCAAACATACTATTCTTTTGAGTTCTTTAAAACATGCACCACAGCTAAAAGCAAAAATTTAAGGTGGTGTGGTGGTACACACCTGTCACCTCAGCACTTGGGAGAAATCTCCAGGTCCAAATTATTTTACCTGTGAACTTTGCCAAATATTCAAGAATAAGTGCCGGCACCTGTGGCTCCCGCCTGTAATCCTAGCTACTCAGGAGGAAGAAATCAGGAGGATCACGGTTTGAAGTCAGCCTAGGCAAATAGTTCACGAGACCCTCTCTCAAAAACCCCATCACAAAAAAAAAAAAAAAAAAAGGGCTAGTGGAGTGGCTCAAGATGTAGGCCCTGAGTTCAAACTCCAGTACCACAAAGAAAAGAAGCAATAATAGTACACTTCCTTTTTTGGATAATAGAAGAGGAGATAACACCTTCCAATTCATTTTATAAAGCCAACCTTACTCTGATATTAAAAAAAAAACCCTACAAAATGCTAATGAAACAAATAGAAGAAGCCCTAAATAATTGGAGAGACATGTCCATGGTTTGGGAGACTTAAAATAATAATCATTCCAATTCTCTCAAATGGTTTCACTGATTTTAAGCAATTCCAATTAACATTACAGAAGGGTTTTTGTATAGTCGAGCTGATTTTAAAGGTTTTAATGGGACTGGTCTGTAGGCCAGTAGCATGTTGCAAGGCCTCGTGTTCAATCCCCAGCACTAAAACGTCTAATTAACAGTAATAAAGTAAATGTAATTGAAGCCCAAACTAACTAAAATAGCTAAAACTATTTCCACAAAGAACAAAGTGGAGAAATCACAGTATTCCATTTTTTTTGGCAGCACTGGGGTTTGAACTCAGGGCCTTACCCTTGCTAGGCAGGTGCTCTATTTCTTGAGCCACTCCACCAGCCCTGTTTTGTGATGGGTATTTTTGAAATAGGGTCTTGAGAACAATTTGCCTATGGCCTCGAACCAAAAACCTCCTGATCTCTGCCTCCCAAGTAGCTAGGATTACAGTTGTGAGCCACTGGCACCCAGCACAGTATCCCATTTTAAGGCTCAGTTATAGTGACAGAAAGCCGCTGATCAGTGGTTTCCTGGGGATGGGACAGGCATGCTGAGGGGCCAAAGGAAAGGGTTACAATGGGACACAAAGTAAGTTTGGGGGCAGCAGACAGATTCATTATTTTGTTTGTGATATTGGTATCATGAATTTATATATATGTATATATATATATATATATATATATATAAAATTTGTCAAGTTGTGCTCTTTAAATCAGGCTAAGTACAACTCAATAAAACTACTTAAAAAAAAAAACCTTTCCAAAGTGACATTTACTTTTATGTCCAGTAGGTGGCAGTTGGAACTATGGATTTTGCCAGTGTTTGAGTCTTACCCTTGCAGTACTTTAGTTTGTAAAATAACATAACGTAAGGAAGAACAATAAGAAGCAACAACAAAAAAAGAGTAATAACAAGGCAGGCTAGCATCATGGTAGATTTTATAGGATTATAATGAGAACAAGAAGGAACATAATTATAAGTCATTACCAAGTTTCTACTCATTAGCGTTTGAAAACGAACAGGCATGGTCCTATTCTGACACCCTGAAATGTGCAAAGAAACAGCAGGCTGACTGCCACCTGAATAACTGCATTTCTCCAGGGCCTTTTACACCAGGCCTTATAGTGCGTGTGTTATTAAAGCCGCCTGTCATCCCCTGCCTAAATGCTCTACCTTTTAAAAATTGTGAATGGCTGGAGATGTCACTCAGGGGAGAACATGTGCTTAGCACACACGAGGCCCTAGGTTCAATCCTCACTAACCCCCAAAAATTATAAATTAAAAATTAGCTCTGTTACTAATGGAATTGCTTCATTTTAAAAACTACATTGAAATTTCATTGAATTCAGTTCCAGAATTCTCTAGTTGTCTTCAAAGTTTTCTTTGGCTGGAAGGAAGACCTGTTGCTCACCCTGCATAGGGGTGGGGTGCAAGTCCCTTGACCCCCAGGCCAGTTATCTGTTGAAAAAAGAGAAGGGAGAAACTCTGACAAAAGGAAATATGTAAGTATTCAAAAGTATTGCCGTAAGGGGTGGGGAAGGGGGATAAGAAAGTGTAGTAGAGGGGGTGAATATGTTCAAAGTTTAATATGGAAATATCTTAATGAAATCCCCCACACTGTACAATTAATGTACGCTAATAAAATGTGAAAAAATTAAGAAATGCAACTAAAAAGCATTGTTAGGATTTGTAATAATGTATTTAGTCATCTCCAACTCCTGTTTTATCTCCTATCATAAGAATGAATTCCTGGGCTGGCTGATGGCTCAAGTCGTAGAGCACCTGCCTAGCAAGCGTGAGGCCCTGGGTTCAAACCCCAGTGACTCCAAAAAAAAAAATTCCCTGAGGACTGGAGGCGTGGCTCAAGCGGTAGAGCCCATGCCAACAAGTGCAGAAGCCTAAGTTCAAACCCCAGCAGTGCCAAAAAATCAATTACTTGATTAGGCATATACTCACATATACTCACATAGAGTGTAAGTATAGTCCAACTAGCAACTACTTACAAGTAATGTGACTTTAAAACTAAATTTATTTCTATCATCTTCCCATTTGCAAAGGAAAAGGTTTCTATGGTTCTATAGTTCTTTTCTATTTTCTCTTTTCTTCTCTTTTCAAGACCTAGGCTGGCTTTAAACTTGTGATCCTTCTGCCTCAGCCTCCCGACTGCTGAGATTACAGGCACGTACCACCACACCTGGTATTTCTACATTTCTTTTTGGCTCAAAAGGTTTATGATTTTTATCAGTGTTTGTTCTGTTGCAAAAAGTTGTTCGAAATCTGAAAACATTTTCTATGATATCCAAGCAATCAGGTGAGCTTATAAAAATACTTCAAACACTGATTTTCATTTTCTTTCTCTCTTTTTTCTTTTCTTTTTTTTTTTTTTTTTGCAGTGTGGGGGATTGAACCCAGAGCTTTGGGCATGCTAGGCAAGCATTCTACCCGAGCTATATTCCCAGCCAAACACTGATTTTCCAAGCTCATTATACTAATGTGAAGAATTTCAACAAATATTACTAAAGCACAAAGCTATTAAAAAATACTGTACAAAGTACATTAGACACACCGTGGACTTCACAAAACCTCTAGTCTAGAAAATCTTCATAGCATCATAAACTTCACATGCTGAATAGAATTAGATTTTAGAAGCATGAAAACGCACTAATCACTCAGCAGAAGGTCCTCCACCCCACCTCACCTTGAAAATTCCACCAGCTTCCGGTTGCCTCAGAAGAGCCTCGGCATCCAACCCGTCCCGGGCACAGGTCACATACATTTCAGAGTAGTCCTTCCCTCCGAAGCAGCATGAAGTTGTTTTATCCACAGGTAACTTCACGGTTTGGAGCCGTTTTCCTGAATCACCCAATACTGAAGTTACTCGAAGTTCAGTTCTGACAATTTTCAACCTGTGCAATGTTTCTAGACTCTGGCTTAATCGAGAGGTTGCAAGGAGACGATGGATGGAGGTCAGAATTCTCCACATGTTCAACTTCTCTTCCCTGCCAGTTTTTTCTTCCCTGACAGTTTTGAGAACAGATTTCCCGCCACAGGAAAAGCTCTGATTAGAAATTCTGGGCTGTATCTTTGGCCTTTATTTCCAATTGAGACCACTGAACGCCTCGCTGACTTTCTTAGCAATGAGTGTCCTCGGTGTGTAGCCTATGGCATGGGTTTTCTAGGCTTGGCAGGGGTTTTCACTTTGCTGTGGGCCTACCTGTCTCAGGGTCTAACCGAATCACTCTTCCTCCATTGTAACAGGCCACCCAAAGCTTTCCCTCAGCATCAATACACATTCCGTCTGGGATTTGTTCATCCTTCTCCAGCTTGTAAACACTTCTGCGGTTGGCTGTGGTTAAAAACAAAACCCAAAACACAACGAGACAGCACGCCACTCAATAATACTGACACTCAGACAGAAAGCTCGCAAGCCAATTATAAATACTGATCACTTCTGCCCGCCCAGCGTCTGGCATTTGAACAAAGCACTTTTGCCGCATGATTTGAGATGGACTCCCCTTTTGTTTTGGTACAGACATACGGGTCTCAGCTTTCAGAGGAGGAGAAAAAGCTCTTTTTGTGTGGTACTGCAGAGGGAACCTAGCACCTTATGCCTGTGAGGCAAGTGCTCTGCCCCTGAGCCCCACAAAACAGAGTTGTTAATAAAGTGCCACTAGGGAGCTCTTTGAGGCTGACCTGAACTGAGGCTCTGCAGGCCCCTCTCAGCCACTCTTCAGTACAAAAATACCTACTTTGATTAAGCCCAAGCCCAAGATCTACTGGCAGCTTTTTTTTTTGGTGGGATTGGGGGCTGAACTCAGGGCTTCGCACTTGCAAAGCATGTGCTCTGTCACTTGAGCCACACCTCCAGTCCATTTTGCGCTGGTTAATTTTTTTGGAGATGGGATCTTGTGAACTATTTGCCTGGGCTGTCCTGGAACCACAATCCTGATTGCAGCCTCCCAAGGAGCTACTGGCACTTGGTATCTACAGGCAACTTAGTGACACCATGTGAACAGTGTATGCACAAAACCTGGGAAGACATATGGGTTTTCTTTCTGCTTGACTAAATGCTGCAAAGTCAAGACCAAATAGTGGAAGAGCTTGCTTCTGCAAGAAGGGGCATTCTAAAACTCATGGGGAGGTTAATGGGGATCACAGTAAACAGAAAACTTCAAAAGTTGAAGGAGGGCTGAGGTTGTAACTCAGTGGTAGAGGGCATGCTTAGCATGTGTGAGGTCCTGGGTTGCAAAAAAACAATCAGAGGAACAAAATTCAGGTCACTACAGTAATCAGATTGAGGTACAATGAAAAAAATGTTAAAACCACGTGCAAGGAAAATGGGTAAGAAGAACCATATAAAAAGAGCAGTACATATTTCAAAGCAAAACATCTGTACCAGAATATTTTACCTCTGATTAAATCTACATGGAGAGTCTTGTGATTTTTTTCCAAGTCATTTTATGATTGGTTTTGCTCTCTTGGTCTGGTACCCTTCGTCAAACTATTTCCAGGACTCCCTTCTAAATTCTTTTAAATAATTCCTTCCCTCCCAGTTTCCAACTTCGGCTCATTTACAGCACATCGATGGAACTGAGCCAGCCTGTAAGTACTCTTTCTACTTTTGCATTTTCAGAGGTTGTTCATTTGCCTCTGAGTACTTGCCTCTGGTTAATAAAATATAAATAAGAAACAGAAGCCAAAACTCTACTAATTCCTTTGTCACATTTGGTTGTATATTATTTGCCTTTAGCATCTTCCTGTGGAATAGGACCCCTTTTCCAATGAGGCTTTTTTCTGGTGATGGTGGCAGGAAAGAGGATTAAGGGTTTCCCCATATTAGGCCAGTATAGCCATTTATACATTTGGGCAGGGGGTGCTGTGGGTGGAACCCAGGGCCTCACACATGCTGGGCAAGCACTATATGACCGAGCCACACCTCCAGCCCTAATGACCATATTTTAATTGTGTTGAGGGTCATGGTCTTGCTGACACCTTGGTCGTCTGTGTAATCATCATTATACTGGAATAGCAGTATCGGAAAGCTCTCTCTGACAAATAAGGGCCTCTTTACATGGGTTGAGGTACCTCACTAGTCACAAATATATGAAAACCATATCAGCAGGACTGAGAAAAATAAAGAAAAGGTACATACAGATCTGTCCCGTCTGCAGGTTGTAGTCAAAGGCATCCACGGAGTAAGACAGGCTGTCAATGTAATAGAAGATTTTGTGGTCTAGGGACCAATCCAAGCCATTGGAGATATCCACCTGGTCAAAGTACTTCTTTACACGGTGGTCAGGAAAGAGGGAGTACAGGGAGCCTTGGCGTCGCTCAAGAACTGCTGGTGCTGTTTCCTCTGCCATGGTGCCTACAACACCCAAAGAGCACCAGCTCAGCCCCATGGCATCCGGCCCCACACACCCCCACCCTTTCTCACTAGGAATCCTTTGCAGGGTTCAAGGAAACTATTATGCACTCTCACCCTGAGCCTTCTCTTCTAAAAAAGATAACTTCCTTCTTTAAAATGCAAATTACACCTACACTGTGAGGTTCTGGCTCCCAGCAAGAGGCGGGTAAAATGTACCAACCTAACTTTCTCCTACTGAGCACAGCTCTAAAGCCTGAACGAAATGCATGTACAGCTATTTGAAGGCTCACAGAATGGGGAGGGTTGTCTCTTTCTCTCAGTTTCGGTTCCTAGAGGCCCTGTTGCTGTCTCCTCTCTCTGCTCTTGCTACCCCTGCGCGGAGGTGCCTGGGGACCTGTGTGTGAGAGCAGCTCATGCTCTCTGAGCTTTAGGACTTTTCTGTTCTTGGGCCAAATCTTGGATCTCTCTACATCACAATGGCCACTTCCAGACTTCAAGCTGTATTGAGTTCAGGCTCAGAGCTATTGGAGAAGAACACAGAGAAGCCACTACTATTTTGGTGGCACTTCCAGTTCTGCTGTTCTGTTCTGAGCTGCCTGCTCATACTTACTTTTCAAAGCCCTCAAATAATTATAAACAGTCTTGAAACAAAACTCAAAAGAGAAAATAGCAGTAAAGAAGTAAAAGATTAACCGAATAAAAAATTTAGAACTCACTGGATCAACTCGATAGCAGATATCAACGGACAAAAGAGTCAGTGTACCGGATGTTCAATTAATTGAAATTATGCAATCAAGGAACAGCAGAGAGAAAAAAGATCAGAAGGCAAAGGCTCAGAGCCTCAGGGATCCAGGGGACAACCACAAAAGGGGAATGCATCCTTGGATTCCTAAAGGGGACGAAAGAGTGCAGGGACCAAAAATTTTGACGATTACATGGCTCAAAATTCTCCAAGCTTGGTGAAAAGCATAAAACTTTTCAGCAGATTCGAGAAGCTGATTGACTCCAAAGCAGGAGAAACCCATGTGCAGACACACTGTAATCAAATCGCTGAAAATGAAAGTCAAATCAAAATGCTTGAAAGAAACCTCGTACATTACATGTGGGGGACATTCAGGGACAAAGTTCATTTGGTACAGAGTTCGTGAAGGTCCACCTTCATAGCTGACTGGGGATAGAAGACAGCCAGGTGCCTTACAGGCAGTCAGCATTCCAGACACAGGACTGCACCAATTAAGAGAATAATTTATTTCAAACAGTTCAAATATGTGGTAGTTTAAAGTTATCTATTTATTTGGTTGAGCAAGTAATTGGTAAAGTTTGTCATTCTTTAGGAAAGGAAAATATAAAACGGACAACTATACAGCCACCTGTGGTGTGGCAGAAACTGCTTTTCCACCAGGAGTACTAAAGTAAACAAGGGAGTCTTTATTTAGCAGGTCTGACATAAAAAATAACATTGGCTGGTGTAGTGGCTCAAGTGGTAGAGCGCTTGCCTAGCAAGCACAAGGCCCTGAGGTCAAATCCCAGTACTGCCAAAAAAAATTTTTAAAAAAGGTAACACTGTCTTTTTTTAATCTTCCTGCTTGCCAACCCCATAGTTTGTCATTAGTTTGTTGCCTTTTAAAATAATTAATTAGCTGGAGGTGTGGCTCAAGCAGCAGAGTGTCTGCCTAGCAAGTATTAAGCCCTGAGTTCAAACCCCAGTACTGCCAAAAAGGAAAAACAAGTAAAATAAATAATTAATTAATTACTATTTCCTTGGGCTGACTTTCACTGCAATCCTTCTGATCTCTGCCTCCTGAGTAGCTAGGATTTATAGGTCTGAGCCACCAGCGCCTGGCAGTTTGCTGTCTTTTAACCATGTGGGTGGGTCTTAGTGTAGATAACCTCAAATGGTATGTATTTCCACAGCAGCAACTATCTTGAATTCTTGTGACTTAGAGAAGGATTCTATAATTGCTAACATTAATTCCAAGAAAGAATTATATACTACCTTAAGAAGTAAACACATCACAAAAAAGTTCTGATATAGAATAAAATTGAAAAATTCAGTAAGATAAAATTGAGAGAAAAAAAGCTGTAGACCAACTGAAAAAATAATTTGTGTCAATAAGCTGACTTGTGGGGATAGTGATCATTGTTTTGTATTTCAAAAATATTTGATCTTAAACAAACAAAAATGTCTTTTTTTTCAAAAACAGAGAACAGGAAGATAAAACAGGTCCTGTCTGGGGGTTGGTACAAGTGGGAGGGGGGATATAAGGAAAGGGTGTAGGAAGGTGAATATGGTAGAAATGCTATGTAGTCATGTATCAAAATGGAAAAATGAGACCTGTTGAAACTGTTCCAGGAATGGGGGAGGGGCAGATAAAGGAGAATGATGGGGGGTGGGTGAATTCAACTGTGATACATTGTAAGAACTTTTGTAAATGTCACAATGTACCCCCAGCACAACGATAATATGATAATAAAAAATAAAAAGTATTGAGTTTAGAAAGTCAGTCGTATGATGCTTTTCCCAAGTACTTTTTAAATAACTGATAATCTATACTTTAATAAAAATTTCCTTGGTGTTAAAAAAAAAAAGAAAACAGGCAATTCACTAAGCATGCATAGCAATCTTAAATGTGAACAAAATACATGAGGCAACAGCTGTTGAAACGGAAAGAAGAAATAGAAAAATTCAGAATTTTAGTTGGAGACTGTCGACATCTTTCTCTCCATCATGGATACAAGTAGACGGAAAATCGGCATAGATACAGAACTGAACACTCAACAATTGAGTCTAATGGATTTTTATAGAACATTCCATCCAGCAAGAAAATACACATTCTTCTCAAGTGCATATGGAATATAATTCGGTCACTGAAGTCATTCACTTAGATGGCCTTGAGTGCGATCTCAGGGCACAGAGCTGGTTGTGTCTGTATTCTGACTAACGTGGAAAGTTCATCTACATGTCACTCCATGCAAAAGAAGAGCAAGTTAGAGGAGGAAGATGGACTACAAACGGAAAGCCCAGAGAGTGAGACAGGGTAGAGCCTCCCTCGCAGGGGAGAAGGACGATCACTCCATCACTTGGTAGTTTCCTGCTACAGGACAGATGTTTCATGAATATTCTTCCCATTAGCTGCCTCACAGAAGGAGATGGGAGAACACGTGAAAGGGTTCCTCTCTGTTGAGAGAGAATTAGCCAGAGTCCTGGGCTGTGCCTCACTAAGTACTAGTGAGCTCAGACAGCTCGGAAGGATGCGTGCAGGGCTACTCGAGGCTACAACCACCCAGAAACTCCTTTATACAGCAGATGGCTCCTCCCTTTTCTGGGCTGTGGACATCTCTGAGCACCTGCTGAGAGCTATGATCTCTCTAGAAAAGGGTTCTCAGGGACTTCTAGTAGATCTATACTACTAAAAGGTCCACCCATGATAACGCCTACAATTTTTTTTGGTGGTACTGGGGTTTGAACTCAGTGCTCTGTGCTTGCTAGGCAGGTGCTCTACTGCTTGAGCCACTCCGCCAGCCCTGACATCTGTAATTTTAAGGAGCCTACTAATGGTCCTGACACTCTAGTTAAAAACTAAAGCCTCAGAAGAAATGTTTATTTTTGTTTCACAAAGTGCCACAGAACTGTAAACTTCTAGCCATAAGGGAGAGAGAAAAATCAATTTCATCAGGAGGTAAACTATCCAATCATAATTCTTTTTATTTATTTATTAATTTTTTTGGTGGCACTGGGGTTTGAACTCAGGGCCTCACACTTGCAGGCAGACACTCTTACTGCTTGAGCCATTTCACCAGCCCATGATTCTGTTTTTTAAAGATAGAGTTTTGTTGTATAGCTCATGCTGGTCTGAAACCCCAAGCTGACCTTGAACTCACTATCCTCCTGCTTCAGCCTCCCCAGTGCTGGGATTAGAGACATGCAGCACCAATGTTCATAACTCTTTATCTTGAAGAAATTACTGGCAGAAGGACTTCCAAGTCCTTTCTCCTTCCCTACCCCTTTTGGTGGCACTGGGATTTGAACTCAAGGCCTCAGGATTGCTAGGCAGGTGCTCTACCATTTCAGCCAATTCGCCAGCCCTCCAGTGGATTCTTATCCACTGTCCCGGATGTTATCTGCGGTTGTGTAGTAAAGTCCAGGAAGATGGGAAACAATCTACAGCCAGCTGCTCAGATTTCACCTGGTGACAGTGAATGGAGCCAGAAAGGCATGGCCAACAACGTGAGGGGTCAGTTTGGGGAGGAAGAAATAACAGGGATGGAGAATTAACTTTGGCTAACTTACAGGGTTGTTATGATGGGAGGGAGGTGAGAAATTCGTGTGAAACGCATTACCTAATGGTAATTATCGTTCAAATTCTTTTTGCATTTTTGGTGCTGGGGATCAAACCCAGGGCCTCACATATGCTAGACAAGTGCTCTAACACTGAGCTATATCCCAGCCTTAGTTCAAATTCTTTTAAAGCTGTACACAGCCAGGCTTGCTAGCTCACATCTGTAATCCAAGCACTCAACAGGCAGAGGTAGGGGGATTGTGAGTTCAAGGCCAGTCTGGGCTACGTAGCAAAACCCTATCTCAAACAAAACAAAACAAAGCAAAACAACCCTCTCCTCAAAAATACAGTCACTGTGCAGTAGATAAATCTGACAGGAACTTAACCGGGTGGCTGTAATTAACATCAGCTATGAAGGGCAAGTGGACATCGTGTACCTCCAGATAGGCTACTCCGGGAAGGACAGAACATCACCTACACAGTATTTCAGCCAAGAGTGTATAACTCCAAGCTAATCACAAGGAAGCATCAGACAATTACAAAATGAAGAATGTTCTATTATAAAGGAGGGGGGTTGGGAGAGAATGTGTCCTTTAATAAATGGCAATGTCATAAAAAACAAAGAAAGGCTACGGAAATGTTCCAGATTAAGATGATTTAAAAACAAGGCAAGTAAATGCAACACGTGATCCTAGACCGGATCCTTTATGGGAGGGGAAAATTCTATAAAGAACATGACTTTGGTCAACTGACATAACTGGGACATGTAAGAAGCATCATTTTCCTTGGGACACTCACACTGAAGTACTTTGGGGGTAAAGCCACATTATATGTATGTATCCCCAATGATTCTGGGGACACAATTTATATATATATATATATATATATATATATAAAATATTACCACAAGGGGAGTAAAATGTTGCCAACAGGTGACTCTAGGTAAGGGGTATGGAGAAGTTGGTTGTGTTAGTCTTACTTTCCTTTCTGTAAATTTGAAATTATTTCCAGTTTATGGTAGAGAGCTTGCTTAGCATGCATGAGGCCCTGGGTTCAACCCCCAGCACCACAAAAAAGAAACAACAAATCCTTTGTATTTAAGACTCATTTAAACCACAAAAACACTATACAGATTTCAGTCTCTGCAAGAGGCAGAAACTGAAAGGAGTATTCACAGGATTTTCTTTTTAGTGATCCAAGTTACTCAGGCAATAAGAGGGCTGGGAGTGTGGCTCAGTGGTACAGCACTTGTCTAGCACGAGTAAGGCCCTGGGTTCCATCCCCAACACCACACCACCCTCCCACCCCACGCACCCACGCACGCACACAAAGAACCCAAGACCCCCTTTTGAATGACACTTTGACCACTACAGCTGTGAGAACTTTCCAGGTCATACTGTACCTCCAAAAGTCAGCAAAGGGGCTAAAGAGAGATCATACCAGCGAAGTATCTGCCAGCGGGGTCCACCTTCCCGTCATTGAATCGGTTGTTTTTCTTGTCTTTATCCACAGTGGCCAGGACAACTACTGATTGATCTTCCCAGTTCAAAGCACAGAACTTTGTTCCAATGGTGGCGACATAGCCTCCTGACTTGCGAAGGGCCACAGAGCTGACTGGGGCATCTGGAGAGGCAAAAGGAACAGTTAGAAGGCAGCAAGCTGGGCTGCTGGTGTGGCTCAAGTGCGAGGGCGCCCATCTACCAAGTGCAAGGCCTGAGCTCAGAAGGGTGCGTGCATAGTGGACCGTGTTTGCGAGCGTGAACTCTCTGTGCTGCTCTGGGCAGCGAAGTTACAAAGACAAGTATGACCCCACTCCTCTCAGGCTCGTGAGAGAAGCTGACTACAGCAGCTGGGGCTGGGGTGATGCAGCGCCTACCTAGCATGTGCAAGGCTCTGGGTTCCACCCCCAGCACCGCAAAACCCTAACCCAAGCCCCAAACACCTCGCAGCAGCCACAATACACAGGGGCAGGCACCGCACACTGTTCAGGGGATGGGTTTCTAATTCAGGGCCACCAGGACAGTCAGGACAGAGCAAGTGATGCTCAGTTTGTCTCACCTCTAGGACATTCACTCAAACTGTGATTTTTGTCACATCTCTCTCTTCTTCCAATACAATATATACATTTTTGTGATGCTGGGGATGGAACCCAGCAACTAACGGCCTCTGGCATGCCCATAGAGGTCACAGTCACTTTGCTTCTAGCGGCAGTCATAATTCTACACGAATTAAAAAGCTGTTCCCAAGTGTGGAGCCCTGGGTTCAAACTCTACTCCCACTTCAAAAAAAACCTGTTCTCAGGCTGGGGATGTAGCTTAGTGACATATGCAAGGCCCTGGGTTCAATCCCAAGCACCAAAAAAAGTTTTGATGTTTCTAATTGAATTCATGGGATGAAATACCAGGAATCCCTGGAATTTCTTCTGAGGAACACAGTGAAAACAAGAACTTGCTTGTCTACTGATAATCACATTAGCCTGTCGCCTTTGGGCCATAGAAGGTGATAAACTCCTTCTCTGGAAAGCACAGAACCCTGAGGGGAATCACATGGAAATGTACATGAAATTCCATCAGGAACCCTACAGTCAGCAAAGACAGCCCTGGGAGATGCCTTTGAAGTCTAAAGCTCTTCTCATCACATTCAAAGAAGGGGTGCACCTAGTTTGCATGTTTTTTTTTTTTGAAAATTAAGCTCTTGGCCTGATCCAAAGTGGAAGGCCTTTGCTGAGCACTAACCAGGCTTCAAGTTTCAATGGTGAAACTTTTCCTGACGGGTGTTCAGGAAGCTAGACACTGTTGCATCTAGATAGCAAAAGAGAAATGGGGCACTGGGGACACCGCTCAGTGGTAGAGCGCTTGTCTAGCATGCAGGGGCCCTGGGTTCCACCCAGCACTGCAAAACAACAACACTTCGTCCTTACCCAAGATCACTCGCTGCACTGCCTTAGTGAGCGAGTCCCACCGGCAAACCTTCTTGGTGGGAATGTCTACGAAGACTAGAGGTTGGATGCTTCCTCCCACACTGGAGACTCTCCACAGCGACACTTCTCGGGCAAAACACACTCAATCTTAATGGAAGACATTGTCACTGGGAGACCTACTGAGGACAACAGAAATCAACTGAAACGCAATTGCACGCAGCAAATTCAGCCCAACACCTGCTGTAAAACCCTGCTAAAATTCCCAATTTTATGGCACTGCGCAGATTTTGCAGTTTTGACAAATTGAAGGTTTATGCCAACCCTGGGTCAAGCAAATCTATCTGAACCATTTTTCCAACAGTTCAGGCAATCTTTGTCATTTTTTAAGCAAGAGTGTTTTAAGCTGGTGGAGTGGCTGAAGTGGTAGAGTGCCTGCCTAGCAGGCATGAGGACCTGAGTTCAAATCCCACTACTACTAAAAAAAGAGTGTTTTAAATTTAAGGTATGTATATTGTGTTAGGTGTATAATATGACTAAATGCTTAATAGATTACTGCATAATGCAAATTAACTTCTATATGCACTAGAGAGAAAAAAAAAAACCTATATGCCTGGCCTTATTTCGAAATTTGCTTTTACCACGGTGGTCTGGAACTGAACCTGTAATCTCCTTGAGGTGAGCCTGTTTGTCCAGAACTGGAAAGCCTGCTTATACTCTCTCAAAGTCAGAGCAAGGGCCAAATGTGACAGGAGAAGACATTTAGAAGGAGGAAGGCTGGTAGGAGATAACCCGAGCTAGCATCAGTCAACTTACCAGTGAGGTTTTTTCAAGCTATCTTTAAAAAAGAAGAAAGTGACGCTCTGACATCCACTGGCTCTAGTGACACTCAGACAGCCGGTTGTTCAGACAGTGCAAGGCCTCTCTTTAAAGCCAGCACCCTGGCCCCAAGGGGGGTCAGGGGGCGGGCAGCTCCCTTATTAGTGGCCCCTCTGGTGTGTCTGCAGGTCACTGTCTACTGCTGTCCTCCCTTGTCATCTGTTGATATCGATCGCCTTGGAGGCCAAGGTCTTCCTGATCTTCATGTTTACAACTATGTTGACCAGAGATAATACAATGAATTAAAACTAACTTCCAGTGGCTGGGGGTGTGTCTTGGTGGCAGAATTCTTGCCTAGGCCCTGGGTTCCATCCCCAGCACTGTCCCCCAAGTCAATTAACATCCACTTTCAAATGCAGACAGTGGAACGGGTAGAGAAAAAGGACATTTTACCTGTTCTCTTTTTCTTTGGTGCTGGGACTTTTTTTTCTTTGGCCCAGGAACTTGAGAGCGCCCTGCTACCCAGCTACACTCTACCTCACCGGTGGAGCACCAGCAGCCCCTCAGCTATGGCTTGCTTCCTACCGAGGCACGGTGCCAAGTTTGGCAAGGAGTCTTGAATTCTCAAGGAAGGAACATTCTATGCTGGGACTTTAGGCCGGAGATTGTGACCAGTGAACTTGGAGAAGAAAAGGACAAATTATTAGAAAAGAAAAAAAATGATCAGATAAGAATTTTGGGCAACTTTCAAGAGCTTCCCTTTGTCCCCAACTCTGCCCTTGTATGTGGGTTTGCAGTGTTGGTAGGAATTCTGCACCTTCCAGCGTCTCTCCGCTTTGAACTAACTGGTCTCACACATGGGTGGATATATGAATAGAAGGGAGGGTGGAAGGAAAATGAGCTTCGATTTAATCTTGCCTTCAATAAACTACCTTTCTTTTTGGAATGTTTTTTGCTTGTTTGTATACTGGGGGGGGGTTTGAACTCAGAGCTTGTGCTTGCTGGGCATGCGCTTCCACCATTGAGTCACGCCCCCAGCAAACATTTTTTCGTTTTTGGATACACAGGCCTCAAACCTGTTTCAAATACTGACCTGCCAGCATTCCAGCATCTGGAATGTTCATTGGTTGTTAAAAATTGGCTCAGACTCCAAAGGCCTTTATGCTATCAATCTTAGATAAGACCCAAGATCAGACACATGGCTTTTGCAATAGTGGCTTTTAACCCCATACTCTGTCTCTGTCGTGCAAGCCCTGGGCTGCCAAATGTCCTATTGCGCCCGGGCTCTTGGCTCTTGGCTGGGAGTGGAGGTGGGGGCAGGGACCAATGTGAGGCCCCCGCCCCCGCTGCACTTGGGGTACCTGTGGCAGAGAGGGATCTTCGCACAGTCTGGTAGCTCCGCTGTGGACCGGGGTACAGAGACAACGATGGCGATGGCGAGCCACTGGGAAGCTGAAGGCTGAGCCCGCCTTGTCCCTGGTGCGGGCTTGGGCTGCGGGCGCCTGGGTGGGCAGTCTGTTTCCTTCTGGCCGCCCCTGGTTGAGAGACTGGGCCGAGCGCGTGTCGCTCCACTGTCGCCTGGGCCTTTCTTCTCCGCAGAGGGGGCGGGGAGGCCGGCCTGGGCACTCGCCAGGCGGGTGACTTCTCAGGCGGCTCGAAGTTCAGGCAGGGACGGGGAGGGGAAAACTCCGCCTGCAATCCAGCGGCTACAGGCGGATGGCCGCAGGCGTGGAACCGGCGGGGACCGGCCGGCCACCCAGCTTGCTGCCTACCCCTGGTCCCCCGCAGCGGGGATCACCTCGGAAAGCCTCTCCAGACGGGGCGGCGGGGGGAAGTGGGGGAGGCTTGGGGCAGAGTGAACCTAAGCTTTGGAGTTTGGACGGATATCTAAAGTTTATCTCTTACTTAAATAAACAAAAAAAGTTCTTAAAATGCCTAACAGATTGGGACTGGGCTCTGGTTAAATACAAACAGGTTAAAGCGGAAAGAACAAAGCGGTTAAACAAATCCTCCCTCTCTCTGGTTGGGAAGACCCTGCTGGCTGCAGGCCAATTCTTACAAAACGTTTTTGGAGGGGAAGAGAAACGGCTTTTATCTGATCTGTTTTTAAAATCACGTGGAATTATTGATCCTAAAGCAGCACCCGGTTTCTTAAATTCCCATTGAGAGCCTAAATGGATTCCTGGTGTGGCCTCCTGACCAGCCATTATTTTTGGAAATGACCTGTAAATTTAAGAGACTATTTAACTTAATTTTTTTTTCTTGCTGTGCTAAGATTGAACCAGGGCCTTGTGCATGCTGGCCGGGAAGGGGCAGAGGGAGGAGAAGAAAGGTAAGAGTAAACAGAGGTAAACAGAATGATCTCTGCCCTAGGGGATGCAGGCAGGGATTAACTGCCCAAGGAAGTAAGGGGACCTTCTGGGGTGAATCACTAAGAATATTCAAGATGCAGTTACAGGCCTGAGTTGCACTGGTGTATATACTGTCAGAAATTATCCAGTGAACTGAATGTGATGGTATATGCCTGTAATCCCAGCTACTCAGAAGGCTGAGGCAAGATTCAGGATAGAAAAAAATCCAGTGTACACATTTGATTGATTATTGTACATTTTATTGTACACATTGAATCCAAGGTCTTCATTGCCTCATTATTGTCCCTCTCATCTAGGACCCATGCCTTGCCATCTGGACTACCCCAAAATCCCTTAGAAATCAAAATGCCATTAATCTGGCATGCTAATCTTTTAATTCACTAAGGAGGAAGGGCTAGAAACCAACATCAAAAGCACAAAATATCTGGGGGCAGGAAGGAAAATACCTGGGGGCCAGAGCAAATTCAGCTCAAAGGTTTTTTTTTTTTTTCTGGTGGTGCCAGGCGTAGAACCCAAGGCTCCAGGCATGCTAGGCAATTGCTCTAGCATTGAGCCACACCCCCCAGCCCTCAAGCTCACAGTTCAAGGACGTGACTTAGAAACACCAGCACTAACAGCCTCCAGTAATTTCCCTTCCCCGGAGGTACTTGAGGCACTTTACTCTCCATTCACAGATGGGAAAACACAAGTTCCACCAAGTTGAAGAGACTTTCAGAGCCACACCAAGCTGGAGCAAAATCTAGCAAATATCCCAAAACCACCCATGGAAACAAAAGAACTTGAAGGACATGGGTGTGGCTCAAGTGGTAGAGCACAGGCCTATCTGAGTTCAAACCCCAGTACTGCCAAAAAAAAGACTGGAAGAACCCCGCTTGGGTGAAGCCGGAGTGGGATTGCGATCCCCACAATTGGGGATCTCTAGACTTCTGCTAGGCTTTCTAAAGAAATCTGTCTCTTCCTGTTCCATGTCGTCCTCAAGTGTAAGAGCACCTTCCTAGCAAGTGTGAGGCCCCAAGTTCAAATTCCAGTGCCACCAAAAAAGTAGTATTGCCTCCTCAATGCTGATGACTCCTTCCCTGTCCTGTATTTTAGCTCAGATCTCTCCCAAAGCTAGGAACCATTGGTCAACCTCTGTCAGCCGGCCCCAATGAGCTGTCCCAAATCGATCATCTGTCCTCTACACATTCCTGCTTTATTTTGGTGAATTCGGCCATGGTGCCACCAACGAACTATCCAAGAAAGTCAAACAGCTCATCTCACTTTTCTTGTCCCTAAATGAACTTTCAAGTTCACCAGAATATAGAAGTCACCAAATACAGAAGTGTCCCTTTCATGTCCTCTGACACTGTTGACATGCTCTCCCCTCCCATTTTCTCTCTCTGGAGGCCCTATTCGTCACCCTTTGGACTGCTGCCCCAAAAATGACCCTCTAGACTGGGAGTCCTGCAGGGCACAGGGGGTGTCTTGCTCACCTTCAGCTTTGGAAGTCCCACCACAGGGCTGACGTGTACCAGGTGGTATGTACGTATCTGTTTCCCCACCTCAGGAGCAACAACTGTATTTAGAAAAAAGCTTTGGTTTTACAGAAAAGTGTAAAAATTAATACAAGAATCTTGATCACCCTTTACCGGACCACCTGAATTTCTCAAATGCTAACAGTTTCCCACATTTGCTCTATTCTCTCTCTCTCTTCTGTCTCTCTCTGTTTCTGTGTCTTTCTCTTCTCTGTCCCTCCCTCCCTCCTCCATCCTGGGGCTCAAGTGATCCTCCCACCTCAGTCTCTCAAAATTGTAGACTAACATGTGTGCCATAGCGCCTGGTAGCCTTCACTTTTTTTTTTTAAACATTTCTTTTCTTTTTTGGCCATTACTGGGTTTGAACCAGGGCTCACCCTTGGCAGGCAGGCCCTGTACCACTTGAGCCACGCCTACTGCCCTTAGCCTTCACTCTTTCACTACATGTCTATTTATTTTTCGGAACAGTTTGAGAGAGAGTAGCGTTTCCGATATGATGCTCCTTTACCTGTAAATACTTCAGTGTACATTTGCTGAAAACAAGGATGTTACATAACCCAAATTAGGCAGTTTGAAATTGCTAGAGTATTGCTCATGGAATTTCGCCAGTGTGCCCCTACTGTCCTTCGTAATGAAAGGGAAGACAGCATTTTCATCCCAGAACCCAGTCCAGGACAAAGTGTTGCATTGGCAGCGTCTAAAATCCTTTAATCTGAAAACAGTTCCTCAGCCTTTCTTTGTTCACGACATTGACATTTTTGGAGTTCAAAAGGCAGACTGTCTCTTACTTAATTTGAGATTTCTTGATTTTTTCCCCTCATGGTTAATTTCAGGTTATGTCTTTTTTGGCAGCCCTACAGAAGGATGCACTGGAGGCAAACTTGGTTGCTTTGTTCACTTCTGTCACAGAATGTGGCTATTGAATCTTTCTTTTTCTTCTTTTTTTTTTTGGTGGTGCGTGGGCTTGAAACTCAGGGCCCACACTTTGAGCCACTCCACCAGCCAAGCCCCTTTTTTGATGAAGGGTGTTTTCAAGATAGGCGACTTATGAACTTTCTGCCTGGCTGGTTTTGAACCATGATCCTCCTGATCAGTGCCTCCTGAGTAGCTGGGATAACAGGTGTGAGCCACTGGCGTCGGTTCCTGCTTGGAACCTTCCTAGTGCACGATCTATCATTCTGCTGTCTCATCCACCTAAGAGAATCCAAAGGCCCTTCAGAGTTCCTGGCCGAACCTTTTTGACCTCTGTCATGTCCTAAACTACATATTTGCTTCTTGCCTTTGAACTTGCTATTCCCTCTGCCTTTCCTCCAACCCCTAACCTAAACTAATACCTGGGCTAACCACTCCCAAGGCTCAGCCATGTGTCCCTTCCACCAGGAAGTCTTCAGTGACCGCACCTGGCTCTCCCACCAATGGCTCTTACAAGATCCTGTCTACAGTTATTACACAGCTCACCACACTTACTGAGAACTGTTTGCCACTCCGCTATGTCACAAAGCTCTCTGAGGCAAGTCCTGAGTATTTTATTAGGATATGAACCCTTCACTCAAGGATCACCTCCAATCTGGGTTCAATGACTCCTCGAAATGAGGTAGGAGAACATGAATCATGGGGAACCAAGTGACTGGCAATGACAGGGTTTTAGAATGGGCTGGCTATAGGATTTGGCTTGCATTGGGTAATCTGAGGGAAAAGTCCAAGGACTGGAGTGCTGTCAGGAAGTAGGGGTAATTCTATGACTGGGTATTTCATTCCTTTCTTGTGGCATTTGAACTCGGGCCTTGAGCTTGCTAGGCAGGTGTGCTACCACTTGAGCACTCTTCCACCCTTGTTTGTTTGTTTTTGAGTCAGGGTCTCACTGTAGGTCGGGCTGTTTGGAACTTGCTGTATGGTTGGGCTGGCCTTGAATTTGTAATCCTCCTGCCTCAGCCTCCTGAGTGCTGGGATTACAGGTTTAAGACACCGTGCCTGGCTTTAATTCTTATCTAGATGGTTGAGAAGGAGTGATAAACATGCAACACTCACTCATATGAGCCAGGACAGGGTGATGTTTGCTCACGTCTGTGATTGGACAATGTCTATTATTAGTCTTGTTTTGTATTGATCCATCAGGTTTACAGAGCAGCGTTGTCTGATGTTAGTGATCTCTGAACCTATTCTGTTCAACAGGGAACACCAAGTCCTTCTTAGGAGACCAAGACAGCTCCTGGATGTCAGGGCCTGCTTTTT